GAAGTCGGGACATGAAAGGAGATGCATATACAAAGACCCTCACCAAGATTCAGGTCAGAGGAATATTTCGTATACGAGATATCCGAAAAAATATTTTACGCAAACTTATAGATATTTGTATGGAGACGCCATGCTGGTGCTCACCTGGATGAGCTCCAACATGGCGGACGAAAACCAACAGAAACATCTGTTACCGAGTTTTGCTACAAAAGCGTGAATTTATTCTTAGAGAAACTCATAAACATTAAAGTAATTCTTTTTCTAATACATGAACTGTTTAGATAGCAAAATTTCCTGAAATAAGTCATTTTTTTAACCTACAGGACAGCTGTCTTGGCCGTCATGTAAATGCCGCGTCACGCAAAAGCTTAGAAATTCAAGCGTACTCTATTACAAAACCAAGAACCCTGTTTTGAACAAAAAAATTGTAGGAAAATTAGTTTTCAGCTGCTCTAATGCATCGGGAAAGAAAAATCTCGGTAGGATCGATAGTTTTTTAGTTTGAATTTTAGTGACGTCATGTGAAAACCAACAATAAAATGCGACAGGGTCAGCTACTCGCCACTGGGTGATTTACACTAGAGAGAAATATTGTATTGTAAGAAAACCAGAAGTTTACTAAAACAGCAGCCAACTGCCCATTGTTCCCAACGCAGGAGCCTCACTGACTGCAACCCTCAGACTTTAAATAGACGATACTAATTTGCGGTCTACAGTCTACATGAAAACGCACTATTTTTTCCACAAGATAAAAAAATATTCAGCTTTAAGATTTTCTTCTTGGTATTTTTCTCAAACTTAAAGGAATAAAATCCTTGCTCGCATGTTGCTTTCATCAGCACGCACTTTAAACAATGTAAATAGATGAAACGATCGCTAACATATTTTTTACCTGATACCGATATCCGTTAAAAATTCGCTCGAGTTCGCTGTTTGTCTCACCCATGACTAACTTTCCTTCATGGTAGATAACTATGCCGCTTTATAACTCCTCCGACGTTTTTGTGCCAGCTAAAAAATATGGAAACACTATTCACAGTCCTTGGATATTAAATAGACTGAACGTAACGCACTATGTGCCCTTGTTTACTTCTGATCACATGAGCACGAACTCTTTCTTTTCAAGCAATACATCTCAATGCGCAATAATTGACCCTTACATCAAGTAAAACCCTTTGGTTCATTCATATTAATACTGTTTTTGCCCCTCACATTTACTGTGTTCGTTCGTATTCAAAACACCCTTAGGAAAATAAAGGTCGTGTAAGTCATGTGTATTATGTTTCGAGATAAATGGATTATACCCTTTTTTAAGTTCCCATTTTGCGGTGACTTAAGTTTACATCTCCATAAAATGGTACAAGGAACATCACGCAAGCTGAAAATTTACAAAGGCAGGTTTTTTGAAACTCGCTAATGCTGACATTAAGTATGTCGTGCTTGCTGAATGGGCGAAAACACAAAATTGTGTTAACAAGATCATGTACAAATTTAATGATAAAAGCTTGGCAAGATACAGATACAAACAAAAGCAAACACCCTAAAACCTCGACCTGGGCTACACTTGTATGCTCTACGGCCATGCTCTACTCAGTCACCAAACCTTGCCAGTAATAGCTCCATTCTACCTCGCATTTGCATACATTCTGAGATCACATGAGATAGCAAGTCACGTGACTTCGAGCTCAGTGCGAGTTTGATTTCGGGCAAGGTCGCTTGGAGCACTAGTCGCTCCCACAAAATTTTCAGAAATTTCATCCATTTCTCGTTCAGAGCCTCAAGCCGAAGATATTAGCGATGTCAAAACAATCTGAGGACGATCTCCTCGCCGACGAAATTGAGGACGAGGGCGAAGACGACCAGATAAACAAGGATTCGCTACCCGACGAACGCAACGCGGTGCCTGCACACGCTTCCCGACAACTCCAGGACAAAACAGCCGCTTCTTCGGAAGAAATTAGCCAACTCACCCACGCAATTCTAGGCCTGACGAAAAGCCTGCCAGAACTCATCAATTCGCCGCGGGGAGAGACAAAAGACAAAGGGAAACGGCCGGCGAGCAAATCTCCAAACGCTGTTCCCGCCAAAAAAGCAAAAAACAAAGATGGCGAGGCGAGAAGCTCCACGAGCGCCTCCGACCAGTCAACTGACTGCGAGAAACTCTATGACTCTGTGTTAAACAACAACAGTGATGAGTCAGAGCAAAACACCACTCGTAGTGGTGATGAGGATGATTTCCTCTCGGAACTCCTAAAAGAATACGAGTCTGACGATATCGTGGGCGAAAGCCTCGAAAATGAGAAACTAGCCAAGCTAGTTGACAAAATGTTCCGCTGCAAACTAAGCGAGAAAAATCTCAAAGACCGGCTTGAGAGGCAGGAGAGACCGGCTAATTGTACTACAGCCAAGCCTCCCAAAGGTAAACCCGGGCATTTGGCGTCGACTGAGAGAGCCAACTAAGAAGAGGGATTTACAATTTTTCAAAATACAACAAGCCCTCACAAAAGGCATCCTGCCAGTTGTCCGAATCACGGACAAGCTTATGCAGGCAAAATCGCTTAATGCTGATGAATGCCAAGACCTAAAGAAACAGGGGCTGGAGGCCATGTCCCTCCTCACTCATGCCTCTTATGAAATAAACATGCAGCGCCATCTTCTACTGAGACCAGATATTGGGAGGGAATACTCAGCTCTCTGCTCCTCCCAATTGCCATTTACAGATTTTCTCTTTGGAGATGATCTACAAAAGCATTTGAAAGATATTGGCGATCAAAAAAAAATCAGGGCCAAGATCACCCCTAATTATAAAGGGCATCGCCCTTCTCCAGGAAGACCTGGCAATAACAGCTATAATGGCTATAAGCAGTCAAAAAACTGGAGAGGCAACAACTTCAAACCTTGGAAATCCAAGAACAATGCCAACCGGGACAAGACAACCCGGACAAGCCAATAGAACACTTGCTGCCAGCTACTAGCACAGTAAGTATATGTTCGCCTCTTTGTACCAATGTATATATTGCTGGAAACATAGCTAAGCATTTCAGTGCTTGGCAGACGCTCACGTCTGACCCCTACATTTTACGCATCGTTAAGGGTTACCAACTAGAGTTTTGCAACCCTCCTTGCCAGGCGCTCACCCCTAGAGCTGTCAAACTTTCTTGTAAAGAGACAGATATTGCTACTACTGAAATTAACAAGCTTTTAACTAAAGGGGTCATTAGGAAAGCTACTCATGTTCCTGGTGAATTTATCTCAACAATTTTCACCAGGCCCAAAAAATGGGGTCTCACCGTCTTATTTTGAACTTGAAAAAGCTAAATGAGCATATTGAGTACCATCACTTCAAGATGGATTCACTGCCTCACGCATTTCAACTTATGAAGCCTAATTGTTGGATGGCTGTCTTAGACCTAAAAGACGCATACTACTCTGTTCCTATTAGGACTGAGGACAGAAAATACCTTCGTTTCGAGCACGAAGGCCAACTTTATGAATTTGTTTGCCTTCCTAATGGCCTCTCTAGTGCACCCAGAATTTTTACCAAATTGTTAAAACCTGCCCTTGCCAAATTAAGGGAGGAGGGGGTGCTTCTAGTAATTTACATTGATGACATTATACTTTTTGCCGATGACCCTCAGACATTGGTTATATTTATACAAAGGGCTATTACATTGTTGCAGTCTCTGGGATTCACCATCCATTCTGATAAATCCCAACTTGTCCCATCCCAGAGAGTCAATTTCCTGGGTTTCATTTTAGACTCGGTTGTGATGACAGTCTCTATGAAATCGGACAAGGCTGATAAAGCGAAATCAGCCATTTTACAGCTCCTCAGAACGGAGCAGCCTCTTATTCGAGAGGTTGCATCTGTAGTTGGGCAAATGGTGTCATGTTTTCCTGGAGTCAAATATGGCCCACTGTATTACCGTGCTCTTGAAAATGACAAAACTGATGCTTTAAAGACGAATGGGTGGAACTTAGATGACAGAATGCTCATCTCTGATATAGCTAAGAAAGACATGTCTTGGTGGCTTTCAAATATTGACAATGATCCATGCTCTGTCCGGCCTATGAAATACAAATTAACCCTTAAATGTGATAGCTCTCTAGAAGGATGGGGAAGTGTTATTGAAAATTCTTCCCTTGCCGCAAATGGGCGATGGTCCCACAGTGAGAGTATGTGCCACATAAACTATTTGGAGATAAAAGCAGTCCTGTTTGGCCTTCAGTCCTTGTGCTCAGACTTAACAAACTGTAACATCAAAGTATTGTCTGATAACCAAACAGCGGTTTCCTACTTGAGAAATATGGGTGGCACTCACTCTCGGGACTGTAATGAGATTGCAAGAGAAACTCTTCTGTGGTGCAAAGACAGGGGCATATCCTTAGCTGTCACCCATTTACCTGGAAAACTTAATGTTGAAGCTGACCTAGCAAGTAGACATTTTCATGATGACACGGAATGGTCATTAGACACTCATGTTTATAACAGCTTAATTACTAAATGGGGTAATCCTGAGATTGATCTTTTTGCATCACGGTTGAATGCAAAACTGCCCTGCTACGCAGCATGGAAACCTGACCCATGTGCCCATTTTATTGATGCCTTTACACTTGACTGGTCTGTGTTTAAACTTGTTTACTGCTTCCCACCTTTCAGTGTTATTGGGAAAGTACTTCAGAAGATAATATTCTCCAAGACAACAGCAATCCTAGTTCTCCCCGACTGGCCAACACAGTTTTGGTACCCACGAATAAGTCAATGCTAGTGGCGCCTCTACACCGAATAAAGCTGCAGAAGTCAACCCTGACCCTTCCCCACGATGTCAAGAACGTCCATCCCCTCTACCCCAAGCTCCGACTGATTGGCTGTCTTGTGTCAGGAAATCCCTCCAGCTGCAAGGAATAACTGGTGAAACTTTGAACATTATTATTGATTCTTGGCGAGAAAGTACCCAGAAGCAATACAGATCCAGCATATCAGCTTGGATAACTTACTGTAAAGAACAGAAGATCAGCATTACAACACCTTCATTACCACAACTGTTGAACTTTCTAACTCTTCAGTCCAAAAAGCTTAGCTACAGTGCTCTAGGGACCACTAGAAGTGCTCTTTCCTCATTCATCAATATTGATGGCTTCAAAGTAGGAGAACACCCTATTATTTCACGTTTTATGTCGGGTGCTTTCAACAGGAAACCAACTTTTCCCAGATATGTGGAAACATGGAACCCCCAAATTGTTCTCAGCCACCTCAAGGGCTATCCTGACACCAAGGAAATGTCTCTGAAGCAATTGACTTTGAAACTGACTATGATTTTGGCCTTGGTTACTGCACAACGAACACAGACTCTTAAGTTGCTGTCAATCAATGACATGCAATCTAAAGATGGAGAATATGTTTTTCAAATTACTTCCATTCTAAAGCAAACAAGTGCTCATGGTGGCAGGCAAAGACACCTGCCACCTATTGTGTTGAAGAAATATGACCATGATAAAACTCTTTGCGTTTTTACATTGTTACAAGAGTATCTTATTAGAACTTCTAACTTAAGGGGTTCATGTTCTCAACTCCTGATTTGCCACTGCAAGCCTCATGGGCCTGCTTCTAAAGACACTATTTCTAGGTGGCTCAAACAAGTTATGCTTGACGCTGGAATTAATACTTCTGTTTTTAAGCCTCACTCCACCAGAAGTGCAGCCACTTCTGCTGCAAAGTCAGCTGATGTTCCTCTAGATGAAATTATGACCACAGCTGGCTGGCGTTCAAGCTCTGTGTTTGCTGTTTATTATAACAAACCACTGTTAAATGATAGTTCTTTTGCCAACAGTGTACTGGGAAAGAATTAGTGCCTTGGTAATAAATGCCATGCTTACGTTTCCTTATCTGGAATGTGTATTCTTTATTTTTTGAGAGCCCTATAGAGCTCTAAAATCTCATGTGATCTCAGAATGTATGCAAATGCGAGGTAGAATTGAATAATTAAACGAGACTTACCTGTAAGTTGAAGTTTGATTGAGATTCTACCGTAGCATTTGCAGAAATGAAGAGATCACATCCCTCCCTTCCCCTTCCCCTGTTCATATCATCCTATGGTGTTGCATACACCATATATTTACTATTCATCTATGGGGTGGTCTACAGGACTCCTCAAAAAAAAAAAAAAAAAAAAAAAAATATGCTTTCAAGACTGAGCTCGAAGTCACGTGACTTGCTATCTCATGTGATCTCTTCATTTCTGCAAATGCTACGGTAGAATCTCAATCAAACTTCAACTTACAGGTAAGTCTCGTTTAATTATTCAAATTTACCTCAAGTTCGTCTTTGTGAAGCTCCCGGATGGGATGTCCCGGTGAAGCTTTGAAGTCGTGTGCGAAAATCTCAAAGTTCCTATTTTTGTCCGTGTCTTCTTTATCGTCAGTATCCGAAATTTAGACCTCCAAAGTGGCTTGTGTTGCATTAAATAGAAGGAAATATTTAAAGGAAAAGCCAGTCTTCTAACATGGCGCGCAAAGTCGTCACGTCCCTCGCTCATGCAGCTCATGGACGTCCATTTCGTAACATCAGGATTCACCTGACATTCATCGGTAATTGAGTTGTTCGCCTCACTGAGTACGACAGCTTACAATCAAGTCTTTAGCCATAGTGTCGTCAACTGGTGAAATACTTTGCTCATAAATTGTGCTTATTAATTGCTCATGTACTACATCGATCGATAATTCTCTCTTTGAGTTCACGAAACGGCCCCGGCGTTCCAAACCCGAAGCTCACAGTCATCTTTTAGCGTGAACCTACCGTGGAAGGCGTGTGGGTTCGTATGCAACGTGAGCATTTCTCCGAGTTTCCCAGCGCCAACATCATCAACTGACTTAAACTCGAACAACGACAAAACTTATAGAGTGTCGGCATTAGATTCTACCCACCAAAACCACATCGATCGAGAGGGACTGAGATTAAATTTTGAATAACTTAAAAGTCGTAACCGAAGATTCTCGGAAAATGTACGGATGATATGCACGAACAACCGAACATCCGAATACTAGATCGGACGTTCTAACCACTGAACCATTAGGGCTCTAGCGTTAGTGAAGTCGGAATTCTACTATACCAGCAGAGTGTACTACACTTCTGTACTGGGAGCTGAAAGAAAGAGAAAGGCTCGAGAAAGGCTGCGTTCATTTCACGTGGGGGGGGCAAAAATATATCAGGGGATACAGTTTCATACATAATGACTGAGATGTTAGTAAGATGTTGGAAACGAGCAACGAGCGGCGAGAACGAATCGCGAAGCTCGCTGGTAAGTGCTCGTTCTTTCTCACGCGGAGAAAAATCAGGAACAACCTCTGGAACCAGGATATATAGCTAGGTGTAAATAGCGCGAGCTTTATACTCCCCCCACCCCCTGCAAGAAGAAGTTTCTTTCCGGCATGGATTTTAGCATTCCAGTCTACATGTATTGACCTCCAAAATTCTAAATTTCTGAGACTTATGAATGTACATAATACAGCTTTACTGCGCTTTTCACAAACATGCGAACTCTAAAGTTCAAAAGTCGCCTTCGCAATTGCGTTTTTCGCTGCCGTCAATCATAATTACGACCACAAGCAAAGAACCTTGAAACACAGAAAAACACAAAACGGATCGAAATCCACCAATCACAAATCACAAAACTTGACCTTTTGAACCCATTAAAGTAAAGTCTTGTTTCCTAAGAGGTCCGTTAAGATGATTGACGGCAGCGAAAAACGCAATCGTCAGTTGGCTTTTGAACTTCAGAAACATATCCAAAATTCGCAGCAATTTTCCTATCGAACGCGGGTTCGTAACTTAAAATTCCCGCCATGATGTTCCTGTTTGTTTCCCGGGACTGATGATGGGATTTGGAAGGTCGCGAGTTCGACTCTCGCCAGGGCACGAAAATTTTCGTTGCCCCGGGCAAGCATGGTTTCTCCTTCTCCCAAGTGAAAATGTTCACTGGAAGTGTAAGTGTGCTGCTCACAAGTGCACATTAAAAAAATAATAAATAATAATAAGAAAATAAAATAGTTTGTATGTGTAAATAATAACAACTTATATATAATTATATAAAAACCATGATTAAAATTTTGTTTGTGTCAATAATTATTATGCTTTATGAGTATGGTCTTAAAAAAGTCCGTCAGTACTTTGCAGAAGCGTAACTATGCGCCTAAAAAAATTAAAACCCTGAGTGGTTTTGGTGGATGTAGACTTCAACATCCACCAAAACCACCGACAGTGTTCGGTGCTAGATGTGTATCACGTAAACCCATGAAATCTGAAACATATTTTAAAACTTCACGTACAATATTTGCCAAAATACAGTTATACTCGTTATATTCACCCTTTGTTGGCGAGAACTCGATCTCCCAAATATTATTAAGCCCAAAGCAAAAGAAAGGCGAATCCCCGGGAGGCGAATACGTCAAAACATCGTAGGCATCTTTCGTTGGTATAACATGTCACAAGGTGTCCAAAAGTCAATCTCAGTCCCTCTCGATCGATGTGGTTTTGGTGGGTAGAATCTAATGCCGACCGATCGAATCGCTTCGAACAACGCAAATAGCTTTCTTCAGGTTCGCAACGCCTTCTGGGTTTCTGGGGGCGGAGACGAGGTACAAAAAGTATTCGTACAAGAGTCAGTGCAAGGGAAATCGTATGAAACCATTTGTGAGAACATCGTTTCTTGGTACCAGACCCGCGTGTCTTCCCTTCCCCGGGGGACCGTATTTCTGCACAGACGACCGAAAACCGAATTTATAACTGGGCAGCCCTCTAACTAGAAGACAAATAATCGCGAGAAGTAAGTCAACAATACAAAATCAACTAACCCTCATCTTTCGCTTGACGAATCCATTTGTCCATGACGGTTGAGACGGCCGCTTGGAATTCTTCTTTCTCTCCCTGATGATGTCTTTTTATTTCTTCCTCCTTCTGTTGTATCTCCTTCACGATTTCCTCTATTTCCATTTTTCTCTGCTCTCTTTCCTCTATTACCTTTTCAAGACGTTTTTTTATCGCCGGTCTTTCTTCGTGACTCAACTCTCTAAGTTCAGTATTAAGTTCATGTAGTCCCCCAAATCCACAAAGACCAATTACGTTGGAGTAACTGACACCCGCTTTACCTTCCAGATGCTCTTTGAATGCAGCTTCCTTTGCTTTTGCGATCAAGTCACGGTGGTCTTCCCTTGTCTTTCTATCCTTCAAGATTATCAGCTCACTCTCCGTTTGTCCTGCAGCCTTCACTGTTAATTTAGTTATTTGGCTCTGTGAATTTAGAGCTTTAAAAAAACTTCCAATTCCCTCAACATCAGGAAAAGCGTCTACAACAGCATTCCTGTCAGACTGCTCGATAATCAAAACTTGTGCTTTATTGTAAAACTTTGAAGGACGACCACTTACGTTTAATAACTTCTTCATTTCTTTCAGGGGAAGAGAAGGACGAAGTGAGCGCGATTTTACTTGCTCCAACATTTCCACGAGGTCATACAACTGCAACTCCTGAAAAACGTCTTTTAACAGCTCGACTGGGGTGTAAGGAAGGAATACGGCGATCTTGTTCAGCATAAAGGGGAGCAGTTTCTCAGGATCCAGCCCAAAAGCCTGGTAAAATAGCTGCAGAGCAGTAGGATCCGCTTGAAGTCTGCATGCCAGTTCTGCCCTCACTTGTTTACTCAGATCTTTTAAGCAAAGATTGGAAATGGGATCTAGGAAAAATGAAAAAGCTAAAAAAGAAACTAATCACGCTTTCCCTAAATTTTCTTTTAGTCCGGACCTGTCTGCGGACCTCTGAAATTGACCCACTAAGAATGGCCAAGAAATCAATTGAAAATTTGGAAAAATCAACCAGCGCAGTTACAGCGAAGAATAGTTATAGCCAAGTGTTCGTGCAGAACGTCACAAACAACCAAACATTCTCATGTAATACTGTACTAAAAGAGGTGATGATTACGGTGGTGCCTTTGTAGATTTGAATCTAAATATCCGTATATATTCGTCGCGTGTTTCCATCAAATCGCCAGTTTTTCAATGAAATCATCTGATATCAATTTTTTTTTTTTGCGCGGTAACGCTATCAGCGAGCATGAGCAACCACGAATATGACACTTTTTGGTAGATTTCTTTGTTGTCATCGTACGACTAATGTTGTCAAACTTAGGCAGAATGGCATGGCGATGTGATCGTCGCGTTTATAATCTACATTATTAAAAACTGAATCATTGGATAATGCAATTCTAGCATTTTGATTGGCTTAGCCGTTATGGTATATGAGCTAATATACCATGTTCTCCATATATGGTCGGTGTACGCGTCAGTTTAAAATTGGAAGCTAGCTGAGATTTTTTTTCGCGAAGGATAGAACGGCGCCCGAAGCAAATCGTTTTAATTCATTTCTTAGAATACTAGAAATGCAATTTCAACGAAAGAAAAAAGACAAAAACAAACAAAAAAGCCACAAGAGCTTGTTTGAAAGTTTGTCGAAAAACACATGAAAACACATGGAACTAAAGTACCTTGACCAGCTACGAAAGAAGACAAGTGTTGTTTCTTCATGATCGCGAAGCCATTCGTCGATCGAGTCACTCGCCGATAGATAACTGCAGCTTGTTTATCCGACATCAAGAATATAAATCACGAGTAACCAGCTACAAATACAGGCTATGCAGCCATTCACTAGAGCAATCGAGGCGGCAGTATAGCTTCTTTTCTCATTCAGCAAAATCAGCTTGTGGCTTCAAACAACTTCATAACAAGCGACCGAGGTAATACCGGTAGTTTTTCTCCGTTGTTCTTACTTTTATAACTGCACCGAAAATCCAAATTCATAGTAATTTCGACGGCTGTCACTTAAAAATTCTTTTCCTTCACATTATCTGCCAGGTTTTTTAAGCTGTTCTGCTGTGTAAAATCCTAGAATCACGATGAGTTTTTAAAAAACTAATGTTCATCGCACAATGTTTTGATTTTTCATTCATGCAGTCTAGGCGAGTCCGTTCGCGCGTTGACAGTTTTGATAGACGTGTGACATGTCAATAGCGGAAGTCCTTTGTCTTTTCCGGTTTGTTCTAGTCGAGGCGATTCAACGAGATTTTGTGGGCGTTTTTAATAAAACAATTATTCCACTCGGGCTTGTTGGATATGAAATGATTATAGCCAACTCGGCGCTATGCGCCTCGTTGGCTATCTATCATCTCATATCCAACGCGCCCTCGTGGAATAATTGTTAAATATCCGGCGTCGTTGCGTTCCTCGCGACTTCGATACATTTTGTCCTAGAATACCCGAATACAGAATCTCATGGTAATCACAGAAGCGCTTTTTAATGCCATTAAATTTCTTGTATTATGAATCCGTCTTAAACTGAATGCACGACATAGACGAAAGAAATGCACCGATAAATATTTTGAACTTGTTTTCAAGGACATCAAATTCACATCACTACTCTACACGCTCATCAACTTCGAATTCACAACACTTCTACAGAAAAAAATTTTGACTTTATATACAAAAGAATGCGTTCTCTCATGTTGGCGCAAAGATATGGATTGATATGCCAAATAGCTTTAAAAATATATCAAAGAAGACCTTCAGCAAAAAAGTTAAAGGAACTTTATTACATATACTGAAAACCGAAGACAACTATTAGTACTAGATAGTGATAAAATCATGGCCAAACTTTAACTTACAATTCTTTTCTCTTTATATATCTAGTACCTATCATAATAGTTTCTTTTTTTTTGGTCCTTTAATTAGTTTTCCTTTTTTGTTTCATGTGGAACCATATTACTTAAACGTTTCTCCCTTTTTTTTGAAATACTGTTACTGAGTTTGTTAATCTCTTTTCTGAAATCTGTAATATTTAGAACGTTTGAGACTGACCTGCCTCGATTAGTTTAGCTACCTACAGGTCAGTTCGATTTGATTGTAATCGTTTTTATATATAATAAATAAACTTGAACTTGAAAAAAAGATGAAACTGTGCGAACATATCTGCAATTAGACTTTATTTTAAATACAACCTCTACCAAAATTTAAGTGAAATCTTACCGCTGGCTTCCTCAGGTCCGCCAAGTTCAGAAGGAGCAGCATGTGATCTCGATATTCCACTGTCGCTCGTTTCTGTTGTGAAGCTTTGTGTATCAATATCCTTGGTTTGTGCTAAATAATTCTGAATGTAAGCTACTTTCTCCTGCCACTCCTCCCTCTGCACAACAGGACCTTTACATGATAGAATTAAACCAAGTGTAAAGGAAAACAAAATAATGAACATAACTCTCTCTCTCTCCTAAACAGAGGCTCCCTCAGGGATTCCATGAAAAAAAAAAGATAATAATAAAAATAATTATTGTAGACGCGCGGGGAACGTTGGAAAGAGGGAAAGGCGTCCCCACTCGCGCTTTCTTTTTCTCTCTTCTCAGCCTCCCCGAAACCCAAAGAAGCTGCTGCATGTGAAAAGAGAGCGAACTGACGTAAGGAAAACAGAGCATCCAAAATACCCATCTAATCATATAATGATTTTTCCGGGTTCAGTGCTATCCAAGTTCATAACTAAAATGATTTTCCTCTTCTAACACTTTTCCAGGTTTGAAGATGAAATTAGGCATCAACCGTGCGTTAATGTTAACTCCAAAAAAAAGAAAAATCACCTTGTGCTTCACTGATTAACTCCTCACGGGCTTTGTCGTATTCCTCTTCGTCGATTGTCACAATCACTTCAACTTGTTCTTTCCCGGTAAGTTCTCTCAATTCATCAATGAAAAACAAAGCTTGGAATGATTCTTTAAGCGTCCCGTCTCTGTATAAACACCACAAGGCGTTAAGAGCTGAAATGTTTTCGGCTTGAACTTTGAGGATCACGCTCCCTTCAGCTATTTGCATCAGTTTAACGCCAGCAGGAAGGACGCAGGTATTAACAGCAGTTACGAACTGATCATATGTGCAGCCACGCCTCAGTAGCTGATAGGCAGACGCTATAATTGTACCCCCTGCAGCCACTTTGAACAATGTCTTTATGTTCAGAACTGAAAATTAAGGAAGACAATAACAATTCTAAGCCAAAATAGTAATAAAGTCTCAAAAAAATGTCCTCTCCTTTTTAAACAAACGATGCAAGGTCTTGTTTTTAATACTTGATTTGCAGGAGTGGAAGTCTATGAAAGGCTATATACTTAACAATTAATGAATGAGGCTGAGTATCTTATGAAGAATTATGGAGATCAAGGAGGGATACGGCTTCGCCGGATAACACCCTCCGAGATCTCCATAATTCTTCATATGATACGAAAGCCGAATTCAATAATTGTTTTATTATTAATTTAAAATAATTCCTACTTTAAAAACATGGCTAAAACATGCTTCCCTCCATCGATTCATCGATGTTAAGTTCATCTTCGATAGTGCACGTTTAGGTTTGTCCAGCTCCCCAAATATTCCCCAAATAGCAGATGTCGCCCTTCGAGTTGTCTTCTTGCTGTTCTTGCCATGTTTTTAGCTATTTTTTCGCCTAGTTCTTACTCTTGAAACGAGTGAAATGTCCGCCATTTTCAAGTTCACAACAAAAACAACTCAACCTCGTCCCCAGGTCTTCTTGGTTAACGGTGCCTTAACCTGCGAAAATGCTGCATTTTTGACGTCATTTCCTCGTTAAACACAAAATTCTTCCAAATTTGGTCATCAGTAACTGGTTATGGTGAACTAAACATGTGCTTTTAGCCAATGTGAATAGGGAAAATATTGTGAGCGAATAATAACGTAATATAACCGAGTCTCTGAGATCAATAAAATCTGTTTGATAGGCAGCCAATTGAGCTGGCGCTTGAGCGCGCGCGGCTTCTTCTCGCTCCAGACGTTTTACCGCTTGCACGTTCTTACACTGAAACGTTTAGACCGTTTTGAATTCTATCAGCTATCTGATCCGAATAAGCATTAAAACCAAGATATACCTATGGCTGAAAGAGTTCTAACATAGGCTCACTAGTCGTGAAATGTTAAACAGTTTGCCAGTGTCTAAATATTTTATATCAGTACTGAACAGAAGATCTAATCAATCATAACAAAAATTAACATATACTTCTCACTTATGAGAAAAACCACTGGACTGAGATCTTTGTCTCTGTTCAAGAGGCCGTGCCTCCCCAGTGAGCTGAGGCCGGAAGTCCCATTATGTGCGTGGAGCTTAATTACGAGCGCAACTTACCTCCAGCTAAATTTCTGCTCGCCGACGACGCTATCGCAGCTGCTTGTGCTGAAATGAAAAGTTTTCGTAATTATTGAGACAGTAGACATTCATTTGGTCCCTTTAAGTACAAAAAGGGTCCTAAAACAGGTTACAAGGGCGAGAAAACAAGTATAGAAAAATCAGCAGAAATCGTAGTGACGAATCGTAAGGATAGACCCACGGAAGAATCACGAACGATAACAATACCTTTTCGCCATTCAAATTCTTCCTCTTGGTTTTTTCCGTCTTCAAACTCCTCCACTTCCCGAAGTAAATCTGTTTTCTCCTGTCTGGTCAAAATCTCCTTCAGGACTTCAAGATGATCGATCCCTAAAGAGTAGTTGTTTTCCAGTTCCTGAAACAGTGATCTAACATCTTGTATGCTGGTATGCTTTTCTTCCGGTATCCGATCATTGCAAATGGCGACAAGCTGTTCGAGACAATCGAGCTCGTCTAGAACATGAATAATTCTCTCCAACAAGTTGTTATATCCCTTTCGTTTACTCTCGAACGATTTGACATTCCCAAAAAGTGACCATTCTTCAATGCATTTTAAAAGATCTTTTAAAATATTCAATTTATCTTCACTAAGAAAACCATTCTGCTCCAACTCTACAAACAACGGGAAGACATCTTGCATGTTTTCTTCATCGCGAGGCGCCACCATCCCTCTGCACATAACAAGCAATTGTCTTCCTACATTCAACTCGTTCAGTCTCTGGCTTATTTTAAAAAGCAAATTATTGTATTCAATGGCAGACATTTTGAAGACCAGACTAAATTCGGGAGCGCATTCCTTTAGTTTTCATCGCCTCGTTTTTAACTCGTGGGTACGCGCGAGCGTACCACGAGTTATTGCAGGGACAGGGATATGCAAATGAGTCACTCGCTCACTCGTAGTAGACGCACTTCGTAATTAATCGGGTCCGAACTCGAGAGCGCGAAGATCTATCGTTTCCAAAGAAGCACGCGCTCGCCGAAGTTCAGTGGCATCAAATTCCTCGCTGAGAGCGTGCATCGTGCGCTAAAGCACGGTTAGAGGATAGAGGTCTTACCAAATTTAAGACACGCAAGAATCTTTCAGATTAGTACGATTCAAGAGCCTTTGACTCGTCCAGGCGTTAAACTTGACGAGAAGATGAGCATTTGCTCTTCGATTCCTTCAACTTCGACGCTGGATTGATCTCCTACCTTGTAGTAATGTAGTAGGTTATGTGTATGAATGAATGTATGGTAAATAAAGGCACTTCTTCTTCTTCTTCTTCTTCTTAAGTACTCCCCAAGGTCACGGGGGGAAATGGATGTGATTTTGAGCATAAGCTTTAAAATGACAGCGGAAATCGAGATAAGAAAACATAAGCTTTGTGTTTTGCGTCCTACTTCGCGGAGTTGTGTCGGCTTTGTATCGCATATGTTCTTTCATTGCCATGAAATGCGTTTACATTGTTTTTTACTGTCAGTAACCTGGTTCCAATTAGCCTTAATTTCATTCGATTGCTTCGAGTCGTTTTTTCAATCGGTTAAGTATGGCTCGATCGTTTGCGGGCGGAAGTTCAGTGGAAAACGCATTAAATTTGAGACTTTTCACCAAATCATGGGATCATCCTCAATGGCGTAGTGGCTATGTGAGGTCGAGTCAACTCAGAGGGTTCAAATTCTGCTAACTACCTTCTTTTTCCCTTCTTCTTTTTTTTTTTCTTTTTTGTTTTGTTTTGTTTGCTTATTTGTTGTGCTGTTTTTTTGTTGTTGTTTTTTTGTTTTTAAATATATACCTAAATAACTGTTAATAAAGTGCAATAAACAGCAAGAAAAGTATTGTGTTTCCAGAACAAGGATAGTATATTTATAATCTGAATTTCTATCATTTCCTAAAATTTACCGTGGGAAAACCAGAGGTGATAACTAATTGATTATTTTCTAAACAACGTAACCACGAGTAGACGATAGTCTTTCTTTGATTTTTAACCAGTTCCATATCGCGTGCCAGTCCCGAAAAATTGTCTGATTTTTATTGGCTGCAACTTCAAATCACGTGCAAGTCAGATTGGATTGCACACACAGAAGGGAAAAGCAAGCTTTCAGCGTAGAGGAGGACAAAGACTCAAGGCTGTGCCCTAACGGCGCAATACTTGGCCTCGGGCGACTGATGTTGGTTTTGATTTAGTCAAAAAGCACGCGTTGATGTTCAAAGGTCGTTTCACGTGAATTCACATGTAACATAACCGTGACTATATATGAACGTGAGAAGCTGCACAGTTTGCAATTTTAACAGCTTTTCAAAATAACATTGAAATTTTTTCTTCAAATTAGGATGGTCATTAGTTGTTTTTCAAAACAAATTGTTACTGTTGCTCTGACAGGCGTAAAGTACGGTCGGCGACGCAAAACAATAGTTTTGTATTTTGAAAAATCGCTGAATAAACACGGGAGTCACTCTTTTATGTTAATTGAATATTTTTACCTTGTTTTTTTTTTTTATTGCTTTGTCTGCGAGGCTAAAACATAACTAAGATTGTTATTCCAGTAAAATACGATGTATAAAAAGAAGAGAGACGACTATTATTGTGATTGTTTTTAATAGAATCGGGTATAAATCCCGGGGGGGGGGGACTCCCATACATTACCTATACGGGTATGTGCCGCCCAATGGGGTCGTGATTTTGAAGCTCCTGATTTAGAACGGGGTATCCATTTCAGAGGCGTTTTCTAGAACGGGGTATAATATTTCGAACGCACGAAAGCCCCAGTTTTGTAAGCAGCCATTTGATATTATTCAAGGACAGACTGCTTTTAAAAATACGGTTCAATGCGTTAACAAGCAAGCTGTTGTACTTTGGTTGCACCCTGTGTTTTAGCGTGCAGGGAGGGCATATTTTGGCGCGAGCCGCGAGCGCAAACTCCGCCATCTTGGATAAATAGGCGCTCAGAAGTCTGGAACGAGTCTATAATGTACCCGAGGGAGATGGAGACGGGCTCAAAAGAAAGGGACGGAGGAGCAGAAGGAAAATCGTTAGCTTACTAGCGTGGTTCTGTGCGGATGATTATAAAGAAGCATTTATTTGATGTATAAGTCGAACAAATAAAGAAATATCTTTTTAAAAAACAGGGCTATTTCAATTTACAAACTTTCTAGAACGGAGTATAAAAAATTGGCCCATTTCTAGAACGGGGTATCAATTTTAGGGGAAATTTTTTTTAGAACGGGGTGCCAATTTGGAGTCCCCGGCGGCACATACCCACCCACAAAATACCCAAGTGCCCCCCCCCCCCGGGGTATAAATCTACAAAGTCCCGCATTCGCTTTCGTGTCGTGACAACGCATTACGTAGGCACGCACTAAAAAAAAATACGGAAAAGCTAACCGAATCCACAAAAGCCCATTTGTCCTGAACATTTCACCGATAATATAAAAAGAAAATACTTCCGTTCTCCACTTAAACGACGACTTTACAATAAGATGATCTGTTCAAAAGAGATAATAGTTTTGGGGCGGCCCGGGGGAGGAGGGGGGGGCACTTCCTGATAAGAGGCTAATTGAGATGTGCCGCTAGATACGACTGGGTTGACTATAATGCGGGGTTACATTTTCAATAGTTACAAGAATGGGGTCCCAGATACATAAACGGAAAGTGACTAAGTTGGGATCGCAAAAATTACATATTTGCCCCAAAATGACTAATATGGGGTCTACAATTGGCCACAAAATAGACTATGATGGGGTAGGTGCCCTGAGAGGCCTGCGGCGCATACCCAGCAAAAATTAACCCAAGTGACCCCCGGGGGGCGGCCGCGGTTTCGTTGAAATCACAACAGTTTTCCTGGAAAGCTCCACGGGATCTCAGTCAATCTTCACTGGAGAAGCGAATTTTCTTTTCAACCTAAATCAGAATGATTAGTAAAAAGAACAATACCCCTATTTTTGACCCCAAATTCTTTTTACAAAAAATACATAAACAGACCAGAATCTTACCTTTCCATTTAAAAAACATGAAATATTCGGTGGTGTTACCCATACTTCTCATATGGCGAGAAAACTTACTTTCATATGACAACATGCGGTTTTTTTTTTTCGCACGTTCAGGAGGTCAAAGGGACGTGATTTTTCATGAAAAAAATATTCACAAAATTCTGCTTCACTTGTTCCGAAAATAATTTGTTTAATTTTTAATAATTAACTAACAGCTTACTGATTTATTAATTTGCGCGACCAACTTGGAAGCCCGGGCACCCTAGCTAAAATGATCTTTTAGGCCTGGGCACCCCAGTTAAAATGCTTGGGGAGCCCGAAGGGCTCTCTGAAATCTTCCCTAGAGCACAGCCTTGCAGCCCTGTAGTTGTTGGAAGTATGATACATTACGTGCTATTGTTGAGAGTGGAATTGCATATTTTGAGGACGTAAAGGGAATGCAAATTTTAGTGAACTACCCCATACTCTTAATATATATGGGGATGATTTTTCTCTCATAATTTTGATAATGAAAAGAAGATCTAAGATTATCATAAACAGGATAGATTTTTCCCCATGAAGTGGTGTAAGAATCAGCAGGTTATAGGCATGATGTCCCGGCATTCTGGCCAAAGAGAAGAGAGAGAATTAGGTGTGGAGTCAGGCTCCCTTTTTTCTCCAGTTTTCACCAGAATGGCCTTTAATTTACTTGCCAGGTTTTTATATACTTTATACAGCTATTTTGATAAAGGTTGTCGGAAAAGGTGCACGCGACAATCCCGAAAGGCATTGTGGGTGGTTTTGAGTTCACTGTTGTTCAAAGGAATTTGAAAGAATGGCACGATAGGCCATGGGCGTATGTTTGCGAGTGCTAAAGGAAAGCAACAAAAGTAGGCTCGACGGGTACAGCTAGAGTGTCAGGAACAGTGTATTGATCGTGACCCACGTTACCTTTCGGGATTGTCGCGTGCACATTTTTTCCGACAACCTTTCTCGAAATAGCTGTATATGGTTAACGTTCCGATGCAGGATGTCGCGCTCATCAGTAAATTAAATGAGACTCGAGTTTTACACATTTGGCCCCCCAAAAGTGCGGTTGTGATAATTAGATACATAATTCACTGGGTCTTGCCATAGTTACTATTCTCTTTAAATCAATCCTGTTAAAGAATATGAGATAGAAAACGGCACTCAACAAAGTTTTATACTGGGGTGTTCCGCCCGAAGTCCAACGCCTTGCTCTTTTAAATACCATACTTGTCCACAGAAAAGGTACCCCTCATGACAGTCTATTGACAAATGGTACCCCTTTCAAATACCTAGTTTAGAACAGTGCTTCCCTGCCCCGTCATATTAATATGAATAAATCAATAAACCAGGAAGTTTCGTCGTCATTTTTACACCGAAATGATACATTTACCTACCCTTTCATGTACTTTAACTTTTGTTTAACTAGTGAAATCCCTATCCTTTAATTTTCTCTGGAAAAAAAAAGAAAACGATTAAAATGGTACCCCTTTCGTGTGGATTCTCCCCTTATAGGCTGCCATTAAATGGAGTAATTCCCCGACAGCTCCATGGTACATGCATAATGATCTATTCTAATCATGGAGAACGTTATTGAATTCAAGTACAGTCAAACCCCGCTTTACGGACACCCACGTAATACAGACACCTGCTGGTGTCATAAGAGTGCATGTGGTAATTTTTTGACAAATACCATGAAAAAGATGCCGGGGGTAAGGAAAAAAGGTAACAGAAAGTAGCATTTACTTTTAAAACCTCTTTATCGTATTTAATCAGAAACTCATAAGTCC